AGCAGTTTTGATTAGATTTTTAGCAAAGTGGAACTGGTGGAACTGCCACTTTGACATTATGAATTCGTGGCCTACCTTTATTTTGGAGAAGACAAATGAGCAATGACAGGCTTTCAGCTGGGCCTCCAGTCTCTCAAGGCTCAATATCTGCTTGCTGGAAAAAGGAAATGCTGTTAGTGTCAAGACCGCAACTTATATACAAGATGAATGCGAGGCAGATCTCACTAGATTAGACATCAATCTGCTTCAGTCAATTTAGTGACAAAAAGATGATGCAAGTGCAACGCCCTAACAACACTGGTGATGTTTTGAATAGATGATTTATTTTCTAGCACCCAAAAATCTACATGATTCAAATAGGACCTTGCCTTTTGGCCGTAATAATTTTTTTGGCCAGTGTTCTCTTTAAAGCCAAATATGAGAAGACACATTTTAGAAGAGTAAATATAATCTTGTTGAGTCATGGTTCAGCCCTGCAGGTTGATGTGACCGTCTGTCCTTACCTCTCAGAGTCGAGCTGCTCCTGGATGTGGCTGTGAAAGAGGCGGAGAAAGCGGAGGGCTGTGGGGGCCTTCACCTTCCAGTAGAGTTTCTCCATGATGATCTTCTCCATCCTCATCATGTCAGACACCGTAAAGCGATTCTGACTGATGCGGATCAGGTCGTTGGCCAGAGGGACATTCTTCTCCTCTTCTGCGGACTTCACTGCAATGTAGAAGCAGCACAGGCCCACACAGGACAGGTGCTTTGGCTGAATCTGTGGAGGACAGGGAAAGGAAATTAGATTATAGAACAACCTTTATTGTTTTAGCAAACTGGAACTTACTATTAGGGCATGAATGTATTTACAAACCTTCATTACAGAGAGGAATCGATCTAGCAAGCTGATAGCCAGGGAGAAGGTCTCAGAGCTGAAACCAAAGAACCTGGTCAGAGAGAGCAGGTCTTTCACTTCCAGCTCCCTCAGTCTGGTGGTCATCCTGAGGCCATTGTCCTGGGAGCCCTCAATGAGCCTCAAGCCGCTCAGCTTTGGTTGGTATCGGCCCTCCAGATCCGTCAGGGCCTTCAGCTGAACTGCAAAGGACTGTGCTCCGGGTCCTGTCACTGTGTCGATCATCTGTTCATGTAGGGGAAATAGAGCTAAATAATACTGACTAAAATCAAACTGAAACACATCATCTTTTAACATCAACAGACATCAAGTCTCACAACTTAGAATGCGACAAGATTGTGTTTAAAGAAAAACTTTAAAAATGTATGGAATACATTTTAACCAGATACTTAACTACCTATTGGCCCTTACTTTTACAATATAGGCGTTTCTAATGCGCATGTCTACAGATGCTTTAATAAGACATTGTGTTGGGCGATGTCGTCTCTAACCATTTCAATCTGCTGTAACTGTGAATATATGTTAAAAGTTTGCATTTGTAAACTAAGACCAGAAAAAGACAGCACTTACACAATATTGAGACAACCAAACCCCATATTCCATCTAGCCTTTTATGGTGTATCAATAAATCGGCACCAAATGTCAACTCTCTGATGTAATTTATATTATGGCTCAATGGGGGGAGGAAAATATATAAAACAATAAATAAAATCCAATATATGTATGGACCCAACATATAGTGTCTACAGTGTCAGCTGCACTTCAATAAGAAAATGGTTAAACACACTTCAGCTTATACAAATAGTGTAGTTCACCAACAACAACAGACTTGGTTAAGGGCGTAAGTTATGCATTGCTCAGGAGTAACGTTATCTGAGTCATGGCAGTGTTTCCAAATTTGTCAGTCATCATGTAACAAGCCTTTCCCTAACAGCTGTCACTGAGCAGGACTCAACTGGACTGGACTGGTGGTGGTGGTGGTTACAACACACCATGGAAAGTTTCTCACAACTTGTAATAGCAATTCCTCACATTTAAGTTAATACAAGGTTCTTACAATATATAATTCATTCGGCTTGACAAACATGTTGGAAAGTCTGGGCACAACAGTCGGATTTATATCAAAAGGATCAGGCCTTGAATGAGGCAGGGCAGGACCATCGACATGTCGGGACATGTCCCTGCCATACTCACCAATGGAGAGCTAGCTAACACAGAGCCTGATGACAATAACAAAGCCAAGTGATATAACTCCTAAAATCCAATAACTGTGGCCAAAGCTATCAAGACACAGAACTGCGGGCATTAATCCAGTTTAACGTAGTGCTAAATGAAGGTAAAATGACAAACTCATCCGACGTTAACATGGTAACTATTAGCTACAACCGCTAACGTTAACATAACCGCTAGCGTTACATCCATTTTCATGTTCATAGCGTTACTTTAGTTTATTTTAAGCTACCGAGAGCTACATGTTTCAAGGCTTTAAATCCACAAATATCACTTTATGGTTAGTTAACATCATATAAATGGAAGATTAGTTAACGTTAACTTACCTTGAATCAAGTTACGCTGTCTTTATTATAACGAAAAATCAGCTGTGGAAAAAAAAACAACCTCCGCGCTCTTTAGATAAGCGAGTGAAAAGAGGTTTAAAACACAAGAATGTGTAAGTATGAACTTTCACTAAAGAAAGTTTTAAGCATAGGTTAATTTTTGCCTATGCACACCCCCTACCCTCGGCGTAAGGTGATGGGGAAAAGGGCCGTTCAGGTTTTAATGCAGGCATAAAACCAAGCCCATGCCCAAACATGCTGAGGTTTCATTGGCTATCGACGGATGACGCTGCTAGCTCTAAATCTCTATTGGATATACGTCCAGCCAGTCACAATGATATCCCGCCTTTTACAGGTTTAAGGGCCAATCGTAGTTAGGGAGGCGGGACATTGCGACCTACTGTGTCGCTTCTCTTACATTGGCAATAAAATAAAACAAATTCAGTAAAATTACGTTTACTTTTAACAATAAAGCAGAACAGACAACGATATAAATTACTACAGTTAATCACAGTGTGCGTCCAATAAAAGTGGCCAAGAGAGGGGGAGAAAACAACAAAAAACTTAAGCGAATTTTCTGGAAAACAGCAGCATTTCTTAAAATGTCATAGGCCAAACTTGAGAACACAATGCTTTCTCTTCTTAATAAATGGAGTCCGACTGACAGGTTTCTGGAACAATCTGTAAGAAACCTGAACCTGCTGAGACCACAGCCTATGTAGCGAACAAGCAACTTGTTTTATGTAGAACTTTTTAGTCTTTTCTGTCCAAAAGTGCAATTATAGAGCAAACAAGCATGTTTTCAATAAAGCAACTCTTTATTACACCAGGATATACAAATATGCAAGGGAGCCACACAGACCCACCATATTGATCGACTAACATTACTTGATTTAATCCTGAATTTATATACATCCAGGCCTTTTTTTCATTTTACAACAGCATATATAGTTTTATATATATATTATATATATAGTTTAAAACTATAAAAAAAACTTCTAACTAGATCTTTTTGACACCACATAAGGGCTGACAGACATGTTAGTATGACAGGGCACCATGTACAATGATTAAAGATAGTATTTTGTACTATGACTCATTTAAAGTGCTTATAATATAAATTATACAACATTTAACAGCAATATAATGTGACTTTTTTAAATATGTATTTCACAGTGTAAATTGTCATTAGTCAAAAACTACAAGCATAACAAGGCAGATGACAGAAGGTAGCACATGAAATACAAAAACTAAGATTTTGGCAATGTTAACACTTTTAGGAATGAAGGTTAGGAGCCATGCAGAGACCATGCTACAAAGCGCTGCTGAAAAGCTTAAAGGAGAGTTTAGTAGACATGGAAGACTTCAGGCTGACTCACGTCCAAGGATGCTGAGTGCATTTCTATAAAATTGTTATTTCACATTGTAAAAATAATACACTTGATTGTTAGTCTGAGATCTTTTGATGTGGTCAAGTCTTCTAATTCAAATTCCTTCCTGAGGTTAAGGAGCACGCAGATGGAAGACTAAAGAAGCTATGAAAAGGAAAGAAAAACCATGTCATTTATCTGAACAAGCAGCTCCACATATTCATTATGGTCACTAGAAAAATACATGAATAATTAAATGTGTGCAAACGATAAAGTTTAATAAGCATTTGTTATTGTTAAAAATAAAAACATGTGGCGTATGTGGACATTTGGTATGACATGACGACAACGGGTGCAATATGAAATGCTTTGAATCACACAAATGACTGATGTGACACGTAGTCCCAGAGAACTGAGAGAAATTAAGGGGAATGGGTCTAGCTGACCAACAGATGAACTGATGCTTTGTTCGGTTTTCCATTGTCATTATTTATTTTAATATAAATGAAGGCAAAATATTTAACTCACTTCCAGACTCACTCACTTTGCATAGAATAGTGTTTAATTATGTTACCTCAAACTACCAACAATTAAAAAACAATTATCAATATTTTTATATACATTATTAGACATTCTTTATTATAAAACAACTCTACTAGAGACCATTCAACTTGTGAATAACTGCATGTATAAATACACACAAATGCTTAGTCCATGTTAATACAATAACATAACTCACAACCACCAGTTCAGTTAAGTCAGTAACCGCAAGTCTCCTGTTTCCAATACGTTTTGTCAGTGTCTCACTGAGAAACAGAGACTTAAAATTACAACAGGAGATGAACACACATTCATGGCAAGAACATAAAACAACACAAGCTACATGTTATGAAAACAGTCCATGGATTGTGTGTCTAGCAGAGTCAGCATTAGGGACAAATTAAATACACTGAGCAAAGCTACCTTTTTGATCCAAAAGTACACAGAGGCTTATAGCCATCACATTATTCAGGCTCACATACGTGCATAGTCACTGTGACACTATGTCCACACATACAGTGTCAGGAAGTATTGTCAGATATGACAGTTTCTTTTTTCCCATGCTGATGGCAGACACATTCCTGGTTACCCTGGATGTTTGATCCATAAATCAACTGAAAGGGGAAAAGAAATATGACAACATATGGGGGAAAAAAGAGGGATCTGAGGTATGGTAGAATTCAAAATAATAAATGAATGAAATGGGAATGCAACAGTATTTGGGTTGTCAGTCTAAGGCTACATTCAGAGTCACACTGGAAGCCCAACTTTTGCACAGCTAACCAACCATGACTGTACCACCAAAATTATTACAGTTGAGACGTGTTGAAATCACACTTCGGCCCTGTGTGGCTTTACACTGGCTTTATGCCTTTTGTGGGGTGAAAATGTGGTAATATTTTCATCCACATGGTGGGGCATTAAAGCCAGTACAAACTGACACCGATAGCGAACATTTCTGAAGGAACTAGGCTTTAATTTCATCACATTTGTTTCTATTTTACTAATCATTAAGATGCCTTTGTGATTGTGGATTTTCAAGGCTAATCTTGACCTTCTGTGTATATATGTTTTGAGCATACATAATCGATCCTGACATAAAATGTTTCCACCTGCAGAAATGATTACAGTTCTGCGTGGGACATCTGAGTGTCAACTGCGTTGCACATGGTGTGAGCATTGGTGAGACCAGTCAAATGTAAACAGAAATGCCCCTGCCCGAGATACAGTCTGGCAGGTCAGCCCGCAGAGAAATAACCATCAGGCCGTGTTATGCAAGCTGTGACCCTTCCTACTATGTCTGGGCACGCAGTGTCAGTCTGAATCTGTCCCTGTATCAGTTCCTGAGCCAACATGGCTTCTGGGAAGATAACACAATCTCATTAATCACACTGTTCGCCCCCCCCCCCCAATCAGCTCCACATAGACTGTCTTAGATGCATGTGTGACATTATTATCCCTAAATAGCCTGAGAGATCTTAGTGTTTTTACTGTTTAGTGGCATTAATGCTTGCTCTGACAACCATAGTGTGTGAATGAAAACATAAGCAGTAATACAAATCAAATGCATACAGAAAAGCAGACTTACTTCTTCTTGTCCTTGTCCTTCTTGAATGGTTGTGAGCAGCCCTGGAGTGCCTGTCCCATCAGAGTCTCAGCTGCCACCTTTCTTCTGTTGAAGGCATTCATCTCCTCCTCCAGTTCTCGTCTTTTCTCCTCCAGATTCTTTTCTCATCCTGGTGCATGCGCTTCAGCTGCTCAAACCTCTCATGAAGCTAGAGATGACGATGATGGTGGGACAGGTCACAATGTGACACAAACCAAATATGGTGTATTTTCAATGAGCAGTTATTGTATAATGTTAATCCTCACCTCTTTTTCCTTTTCTTTCAGCTCTGCTTCAGTCTCCTTCACTTTGTTGACAAACATCTGTCTCATTTCTTCCTCTTTGCGCTGCAGATCCACCAGGAACTCCTTCCTCTTAGCTTCGTACGTCTCCTGAAGGCTGAAAATCAGTGTAAAAGCAATGCTCAGGATTAGTATCCAGATGCTGGTTGCTCCAGCTGTTTATAAGTTCAAACTTAGCTTAGTGGTAACATAGCAATTTTTACGAGGTAGGGATTAATGCATCACAAAATGGGTTGCACACCAGAAACTAGCTTGAAATGAGCTATAACTAAGCGATTAAGAAGTCTATTATGGTTTTCAGTCATCCAGGTCAGTTATCGAAGGAAAGTTAAAATCCAGGGCTTATGGACTTGTTTGAAGATACTCAGACGTTTCGGCTCTTATCTGAGAGGCTTCTTCAGTTCTGACTGACTGTCAGGGAATCCCAGCTATTTAACCTCTGTGGGGTCACTGTCAAGATAATCGAAACCTCTTGGTTCAAGCTTAAGAAGGACTTTACAAATATTGATTTATAAACAGTTGGTTCAACCTAACACTCTTAACTCCATCTGACATATACCCAACACATTATCTGTCATTTCATGAACACAGGCACTGGGTTAACTGTAGTTTCTCTCCAATATTAGGGAGATGGTGTTGCTTATCTCCAGATGAATTTATGAAGGCACTAAAAGCTTCAGATGAGACAAAAATATAACCAAATACATTAATTAATTATACTGCTCGTTAAATAATTAAAACAGAGTCTAAAGAGACACATAAAGCTTTACACTTTCCTTTAAGATCCTATCAGTTGGTAAATAAGAGAAAAGCCTTTTTATTTTTCCTTTACCTCCTATAAATTACAAATGTTTTAATCTTCTATTTATCTTTCACGACTTAGTTTTATTTTTCAACTTCTTAGTTTTCTAATTCGTTTTGGTCATTTAATGATTTATCTATTTCCCATTTTCCTCATACTTGAGATGGATTTGTCCATGTATTGTCCAGAGGAGAATTTGGTCCAGGGTGGGAGTGTGTGTGTCTTTGATTTGATTTGATAAAGATGATGAAAGACAGATTTATATAGTGTTCAGATGGCATTAATTAAATTACATCTCACCAAATCATATAAAACATCAACATATTGTTTATCAATATAGTCATTTATCAGCATGGTTTTAGCATCATATGAGAGCAAGACTTTCTTTTGGCTGCCCAGATGCATTACCTCACTGCTATCCCTAATTTCACCTGAACGACTGGCTGTCCGGGTCTGTGTCCTTGAAGCCCATCTCTTCCAGCTTGCAGCGACGGTAAAGCTCATAGTGCCGAGCGTGCGTTTGCTCTCGGAGATCCTCCATGTTCACACGCAGTAGCATCTCCCTCAGCTTCACAAAATCACAATGGTTTTCATTCTCCACT